CAGACAAGAAAATGGTCCAGTTATTTGTAGTGCAGCCAATGATTAAGTTACATTAAAACAGTTAATACAATCCTGTTAAATATAAGTGTACATACAGTACATAAACATACTTTTCTATTCCTTATTAGGAAGAAAATAATTCCAATGGCATACATTTTTCAATTTAAATTAATTAGTTGATGATAAAGTACTTCTATGCCCATCTTAAATACATATTAAAGCAAATGATCTTCACTTAGTCTGGAGTTTGTCTACTTGCATCTTAACTGGTCACACTTGTTACAGTACTTTAAAACAAAATAACCATCTTATTTTTTTAAAAAATGAGTTCGTCAGATTTCCTATCATTTAAAATCTTTGGCAATGTTTCCTTGGAACGTATGCAGAGATGGGGTCCACCTATCAAGGAAGGGGAAGAGCATATTTGGATACTGACTGGCTAACCTAGTGAGGAGGGCTTTAAACTAGGTTTGAAGGGGGCAGGTGACCAAAACCCATAGGTAAGTCAAGAACATGGAGACTGGGAGAAGGTTTGGAATTTGGGGGAAGCATGGGCTATTATAGCAGGGATAAAGGAGAGATAAGACAGAACTGGGGGGTGGGGAATCAAATCAGTATCTTAGATGTTTGTATACTAATGCGAGAAGTATGGGGAATAAGAAGGAAGAACTCAAAATGCTAGTAAACAAACACAACTATGACATAGTTGGCATCACGGAGACTTGATGGGATAATACATATGACTGGAATATATTGGTACAGAAGGGTACAGCTTGCTCAGGAAGGACAAGCTGGGGGGACGGGGAGAAGAAAAAAAAAAGGATGGAGCTAGGCTGTTCTCAGTGGTAGCAGATGACAGAACAAGGAGCAATGGTCTCAAGTTGCAGTGGAGGAGGTCTAGGTTGGATATTAGGAAACACTATTTCACTAGGAGGTTGGTGAAGCACTGGAATGTGTTACCTAGGGAGGTGGCGGAATCTCCATCCTTAGAAGTTTTTAAGGCCCAGCTTGACAAAGCCCTGGCTGGGATGATTTAGTTGGGGATTGGTCCTGCTTTGAGCAGGGGGTTGGACTAGATGACCTCCTGAGGTCCCTTCGAACTCTGATATTCTAGGATTAAAAAAAAAAGGGAGGAGGTGTTGCCTTATATATGAAAAATGTATACACTTGGAGTGAGATTGAGATGGAAATAGGAGACAGACTTGTTGAAAGTCTCTGAGTAAGGATAAAAGGGGCATAAAATAAGGGTGATGTCATGATAGGGGTCTACTATAGACCACCTAACCAGGAAGAAGAGGTAGGTGAGACTTCTTTTAAACAACTATCATCATCATTCAAAGCATAGGACTTGATGGTGATGAGGGATTCAGCTACTCAGAAATCTGTTGGGGAAACAATACAGCAGGTACAGATTTCCCAATAAATTCTTGGAATTTATTGGAGACAATTTTTTATTTCAGAAGGTGGAGAAAGCTACTAATGGAGAGGCTGTTCTAGATTTGATTTTGACAAATAGGGAGGAACTGGCTGAGATTTTGAAAGTGGAAGGCAGCTTGGGTGAAAGTGATAATGAAATGATAAGAGTTCATGATTCTAAGGAATGGTAGGAGAGAGAACAACAAAATAAAGACAATGGATTTCAAGACAGACTTTAGCAAGCTCAGGGAGTTTGTAGGTAAGATCCCATGGGAAGCAAGTCTAAGAGGAAAAACAATTGAAGACAGTTGGCAGTTTTTCAAAGAGACATTATTAAGGGCATGAGAGCAAACTATCCCACTGCATAGGAAAGATAGGAAGTATGGCAAGAGACCACCCTGGCTTACCCAGGAGATCTTCAATTATCTGACACTAAAAAAAAAAAAAGTCCTACAAAAAGTGGAAACTAGGTCAAATCACAGAGGATGAATATAAACAAACACCACAAGTATGTAGGGACAAAATTAGAAAGGCCAAAGCACAAAATGAGACCAAACTAGCTAGAGACGTAAAAGGTAACAAGAAAACATTCTACCAATACATTAGAAGCAAGAGGAAGACCAAGGACAGGGTAGGCCCATTACTCAATGATAGGGGAAAATAACAGAAAATGTGGAAATGGCAGAGATGCTTAATGACTTCTTTGTTTCAGTTTTCACCAAGAAGGTTGGTGGTGATTGGGCATCAAACATAGTGAATACCAGGGAAAATGAGGTAGTATCAGAAGAGGTTAAAATAGGGAAAGAACAAGTTAAAAATTACTTGGACAAATTAGATGTCTTCAAGTCACCAGGGCCTGATGACATGCATCCTAGAATACTCAAGGAGCTGACTGAGGAGATATCTAAGCCATTAGCAATTATCTTTGAAAAATCATGGAAGATGGGAAGACTGGAAAAGGGCAAATATGGTGCCCATCTATAAAAAGGGAAATAAGGACAACCCAGAGATTTACAGACCAGTCAGCTTCTGGTACCCAGAAAGATAATGGAGCAAATAATTAAGCAATCAATTTGCAAACATCTAGAAGATAATAAGGTGATAAGTAGCAGTCACCATAGATTTGTCAAGAACAAAGCATGTCAAACAAATCTGATAGCTTTCGTTGACAGGGTAACAAGCCTTGTGGATGGGGGCGGGGGGGGGGAAGTGGTAGACATGATATAGCTTGACTTTAGTAAACTTCTTAGTTTGAAGACCTTCTCATAAACAAACTAGGGGTCTTGAGGTAAAAAGAAGTTATCAGTGGTTCACAGTCATGCTGGAAGGACATAATGAGTGGGGTCCCACAGGGATCAGTTCTATTTAATATCTTCATCAATGATTTAGGTAATGGCATAGAGAGTACACTTATAAAGTTTGCGGACGATACCAAGCTGGGAGGGGCTGCAAGTGCTTTGGAGGATAGGATTAAAATTCAAAATGATCTGGACAAACTGGAGAAGTGGTTTGAAGTAAACAGGATGAAATTCAATAAGGACAAATGCAAAGTACTCCACTTAGGAAGGAGCAATCAGTTGCACACATACAAAATGGTAAATGACTGCCTAGGAAGGAGTGCTACAGAAAGGAATCTGGGAGTCATAGTGGACCACAAGCTAAATATGAGTCAGTGTAACGCTATTGCAAAAAAAGTGAAAATCATTCTGGGATGTGTTAGCAGCAGTGTTGATAGCAAGATACGAGAAGTAATTCTTCTGTTCTACTCTGCACTAATTTGGCTCAATTGGAGTATTGTGTCCAGTTCTGGGAGCCACATTTCAGGAAGGATATGGACAAACTGAAGAGTCCAGAGAAGAGCGACAAAAATGATTAAAGGTCTAGAAAACATGACCTATGTGGGAAGATTGAAAAAATTGGGTTTGTTTAGTCTGAAAAGAGGAGACTGAGAGGGGACATAACTGTTTTCAAGTACGTAAAAGGATGTTAAAAGAAGGAGGGAGAAGAAAAATTTCTTAGCCTCTGAGGATAGGACAAGAAGCAATGAGCTTAAATTGCAGCAAGAGAGGTTTAGGTTGGACATTAGGAAAAGCTTCCTAACTGTCAGGATAGTTAAGCGCTGGAATAAATTGCCTATGGAGATTGTGGAATCTCCATCATTGGAGATTTTTTAGAGCAGGTTTGACAAACACCTGTCAGGAATGGTCTAGATAAAACTTAGACCTGCCATGAGTGCAGGGGACTGGACTAGATAACCTCTCAAGGTCCCTTTCAGTCTTTGATTTGGTCATATTTGGAGTTGATGATCTCGCAATAGTTTTATTTGAGACACTTCAGTCTTCTTCAGCACAACATGGTCCTGAGACCACAGACTTTTTTTTTTTTTTTAAAATGACTGAGCAGGCCAAACAAACCTAATATGTGAGTGCTGAAATAATAAAAATCCTACACTGTAGGTGAAAAATAAAAATGGTATAGTGGAAAGCCTTTAAATATATTAATAAACAATTTAAAAATCTCTTAAGTGACACATTTAAATTAAATACCACCCATTAGACAGCAGTACTGACCCAGAGACTAAAAAAAGCTACTTCATACTCACGGGGTCAGTGGCAAGGAGTCTGAGTGAGAGACTGCTGAATGACACCATTAGGACTGATGGGATGTGCCATGGGCAGTCTTTATGGTGAGATCTGTACGGGTTAACACTTGGGTCAAGATTTCCAAAGCTGGAGGCCTAAAGCTAAGCTTCTAAGTCCTTATTTAGGCACCTAAGTATGTGGTTTGATTTTCAAAAAGTCTGACCTGCACTCACTTTAGGGAGTACTCCTGGGTGCTTTTCAAAATCAGGTCACATCTTCAGGGACTTAAATAAGTATGTGGGAGCCTCTCTTTAGGCACCCACCTTTGTTAGCCTTGGCTTTGGTAAATAGCATCAGGTGCACATCGACCTGTACTAGCCGAAGATTACCACCATGTTCTGCACTGGCCAAATATTTCTGGTCCAAATCCTTCAGCATGTTGGCAGAAGCACAATCTCAGAGGACTTTGCTATAATGCAGCAGACTGAGAACAGATGATATGAAAGGATTTGGCAATTATGCATCTTCTAAATACACACACAAATAGAAAGAGCTGCCAAAACAATAAGAGAGAAATCTAAGTTACGTTTACCAGTCGAATTAAAAATATATGTAGAAAATGTTCAGGATCAATTAAAATAAATCTCACAGCAAAAAATAAATAAAAAATGTGTTTTGATGCTACTGTCTAGTGTACCTTTTTTGTAAACAGGTTTCGTCACCAAACATATATTGAAAAACTTGGCTGCAATATCTCCTCGTGAGGGGGCAGGACTCATCCCTGCGGCGCCTCCTGGTGGTCGTCCAGGGAATTAGTGTTTCCAGCCTCCAGAGTGCCCTCTGCAGGCCAGTGTCCCACTTGCTGCTGGGCCTGAATCCCTCCTGGACCCCAGTGCCCCTTTCAGGCCAGGATGCTTCCCCCCTGGCAGTACCCCCACAAATCTGGGTCTCCCCTCCCCAGGGAACCCCCACCCTCTATCCCCACCTCACCTCAGTCTATGGCCACTGCCAGTCATCAACTAGCCCCCAATCCCTGGGGTAGACTGCAGTGTAAGTGCCACTCATCACTGGCAAGGGGGGTTTGGACCTGCTGCCTTTGCCTACCCCTGGGCCACCCTCTGCAACCCCAGTACCCTTCTTGGCCTTTAACAAGGCCTCCAGCCAGGGGGGGGGGGTTCGCAGGCTGGAGCTCCCCAGCTCCTCTGGCCTTCCCCCAGCCCTTCTTCTTTCTAGGTACCCTGCTTAGCTTCTAGGCAGCCAGGCCCTTCTCCCTCAACAGCTATAGGGAGAGTCCTCTGTGGCTTCTGGCCCACTGCCCTTTTATAAGGGCCAGCTGGGCCTTAATTAAGCTGGCCACAGCTGTGGACAGCTACTCACTCAGCTTCCTCCAGCTGTTCTCACTCCTCTTCCTCCTGCAGCCCTCTCCAGGACTGCTTAAACCCCTTCAAGGCCAGAGCGGGGTAACCACCCCACTACACTCCTTTAGAAATAGCTTAAAGGCTTAAATACTTGACTCTGAAAAGTTAAAGTTACTTTTTGCCTGTCCAGTCACTGTCCTTGTATGGTCCTTGGTGGCACCTTAATATTACAGGTGCTGGGTATGTTAGTAACATACCGTTACATCTGCATTCCTTTAAAGTGCCTGCCAAGTATTTGTTTAATTTTGTCCATGCTGAAATGAAAATGAGAGCGCTGCTTAGAACAATTGTTTGAAAAACTACATGCAGTTCACACCATATGCTACTATACTGAATCCCTATTGGAAACACTTATAAAATGGACATGAAAGCCTATAATGCTGATGCCATATGGTAGGTGACTGGGGAAATATTCTGAAGGCAAGAAAAATATTAGCTATTGCTCTGTCTTAAATGTGCATGGACATGAGGGGAGAGGTTTTATTTCCTCAAGAAATGTTATAATTAAATATATTCTTTAGAAAAGCATTTTTATAAGAAGAAAGTTTGATAAACTCTTTTAAAAAAAATCGAGAGTTTTTTCAATTAAAACAACAACACTTTGGTTTGGGCATTCAGGGTGAAATTCAACAGAGGGGGTCCAGAAAGCCCAATACAAGCCCTCAAAATAGAGCTTTCTAATATAAAGGATTAAGTGGTGCACTGGCCTGAAGCAAAAGGATGACTTTCCCCCACAGTTACCAGCTTTCCTGGATACTCTTTTTATTTACCAAAAATGGTAGTTGGGGAGAACCAAAATACAGTAATGTGAATGTTAAATACTAATGAAGGCAGAACATAATGCAAAAATGATTACCCCATTGTATATGCTGCTACAATACAAATATAGACAGTCACTCCAATCTTTTAGGAATAGGTAGAAAAATACAGCATTTCATGTATTTGTACAGTTGCAGTTAAGGATAGATTCACAAAAGTGTTCTGTTTAGTTTTTTAGGACAGCAGTTACCAAAAATATATCAGAATAAACTACTTACATCATTATTTGTGAACTTGGATGTTATCTTGTTATCTACTTCTGCATCATTAAAGAGTACATTTTTTCTGATACATGATGACATTCTGTGACACCACATACAAAGCCCAAAGGCCATAAAACACCAGGTTTTAAAAATTACTTGTTCTATGACTGGAAGTAGCATACCCTTCAAAACTAAGGCCTTGATCCTGCAAGCTGTTCCACATAGTCAGGATAGGGATGGAGGACTTTCCTGAAGGAATTTGGTATCTTTTACGTACTTCAACTGAAATGCTTGTTATTGATTTGGATTGCACAAAAAAGTGACCTTGTGCCTAATGGCACATAAACTGACTGACACTGGTGGTCTGCAGTACATGTGCTAAGCATTAAGACCTTGACCCTGAAGGCCTTAGGTCTTCAGAACTCCATTGATGCCAGTGTGAAAAGACTGCAAGAACAGTCATAATAATTTTTCAAAACCACATTGATTTAAGACATACTAACGCCCATTAATCAGAGCGAAGAACCTATAGTTGTTGAAAGGAAACACTTCCAGATAGTAAGTCTACAGGTCCCTAGAAACATTACTAACAATCCAAGCTATATATATTGTAACTATTATCCACTGGGGATAAATTCACCCCTTCACTGAGAGCCAGCAGAAGATCTACACACTACTTAAGTCCCACCTCAGCTCCTTAAAACAGGGCTTAAATGAGATGTAAGTGGTACATAGGCATCATGTTGGTGCTGTGATGCGTGGGGTGGATTTCACCCTTTTGAGTAGGCATTTTGATTTTCTGACGAATGATATTTGGTTGCACATGCAATTCATATATAAATATTTCCCACCCTGACACCTAAACAGTCCTTTCCTTCTCTAGATAGAGCAGAGGAGGCTTGAGAGACTTAACACAGAGATCTGGTCTGAAGGAGTTACAGAATGGGCAAAGGAGGAAGAGGAGGAAAGAGGTGTGTTATTGTTCAGAATTTATTTGTTCAGTTCATTTGAATATGGCCCATACCGCCAAGTACTGGCTCTATCATGATCTTTTGCTCCTAATCAGAACCCACACCCAGGAACAAAATGATTCTTGGTTCTCTCACCATTAATTGAAACCAGTCACCAAGTGCATAGTGTTCAAATCTTCAAAGGGGCTCTCTGTAGTGTTAACTAAGACTGTCACAGCAGGATAAATGATCTCTTCAACTGTCACATATGTCCCTGTTATAAAGCCAATGATTCCAATAACAGCTATAAAGATGTCTTTAAGTATCATCCACACACTTAAGTTTTCCTTGTAAAATGTGAGGATTTCAACCAAAGGTGGCAGGATCAATGCCAAAGTGCTGCTGCTTACGGCGCCAACAAAAGAAATCACCAGGTCTAGGTGAGGGATCAAGACTGCTACAGCACCTGAAAGAGATAACAAGCATTTTTTATCTTAAGTTTAGCATCTTCATTAAAATAAAAGCTTGACAGCTACATAAGCCAGTGAATCACGATCTAACAAATATCGAGCAATTTACCACTCATTTTTAATTCTAATCAGTGTAGAGCCCCCAGACTTTACTAACAAATAAGGATAGTCTGCAACACAAAAAGAGAGGAATGCACTTATTTCTGGGTTAGATAAGTTTCAGTGATAATGTAAAGTACCTCACTTGATTTTCAGATCCCAAAGTGAATTTGCAGGGCTGGCAGTTCAAAACATAATCTTTTTGTACATGTGGAATAAACAAAGTTTGCTTTGCAAATCATTGAGACACAAGAGATCTGAAATTGCACGGTGACACTTCTATACTCATTTTTTTCAAGAGAATGACAGGTCGAGAGGAGACAGGTTTTGCAGTGGAAGGGGAGGCTGTAAGTAGCACAGGCTATGCTAGGCAAACAAATAAACACTCACACAGAATCACCCTACAAACTACATCAAATTTGAGGCCCTGGTAAATGATATCCATATTAAAAAGTAACTTAAAAATTAACCAAAATGGACATACAACTTCCTGACCATTTGGGATCCCACGGCCACCGCAATCCCCTCTGATTTGGACATCTGTCTCTTGAAAAATATCAATCACTAAGACTGTTCAGTTTGTAAAATACCTTTGACAGGTTACCAATTTACCAGACAAAGAGTTCAGTCCAGACAGACATATTTAGAAACAGGAATGATTGAGCCTTCCAGCACCGGGTGGTTGGTCTTTGTCCCAATACTGTAAAATTCTACAAACTGATTTCATTGTTACAAAAGAATCAGGGCCTCTGATGTTTTTAATCTCTTTGTCTGGAAACTCTGACCAAGATGTTCTAGTCACGATTTAGAACCATACAAGTGTGGTAATGAATGCTTTCAGTTCTGTATTATAAAACAGTTGAGCAGAGGCTCCAATCTAATCTCCAGTGAATGGTAGGGAAAGCTGACTTTTCCTTTCACAAATGCATCTCCTTTTGGCTGGCAGAGATTAGCACAGACAGTCATGTCAGCTGCCTCCTTGGAATAGCTAAATGGAAGGAAGGGAAAGGGGAAAACCGGTATGAAAACCTCCAGCATGACAGGAATCATCCACAAAACATTTTTTGCTCTTCATTTTTATATTGCGCCACATATTTCCCAACCGCCACCTCCCTCAACTCACGCACCTACACTCAGCTTCAGTACAGTGCCTTTGCCTTCAAGAAAAATGGTAGTGGAGTAATGTTTATAGTATATGGCAATAAATAATGCAATGATTGGAATGAAGATACCTTTAGGTAGCAAGTGAGGGCAAAACCTAACTAAGTGCATACCAATGTGATCTTTTCTCAGCCTGACAAGCACCACTTTGATTTCAAACGGAACCTTACAAGTTTTGCAGACGAATATCCCAGATGTAGGCCTGTTTGGGCATATGTCTTGAATTCTGAGGACAGCTGAAATTAGAAAGGCAACTTTCTAAAATAAATGTCGTTCATGTATCACAATAAACTTGTGGCACTTACCACTGCATGATATTTGCATCACAGCAAAGACCTCAAGAAGTTTCAGAAAAGGATTAGGCTCTTTTACGATTAAGAACAGCATCTCTAGATACACTATATAACAAAGACTGGATTTATGACCCTTCAGAATATTACAGGGCTCTCCTATTATGCCACCCTATTAACAGAAGATAGCTGCAAAGTAAATGATACAGACGTCTTGTGGCAGCTGTGGTTTGTGAATTCCACAAGGTTATAAAAGAGAATGCACTGACACTCTGTCCAGAGGGAAGTAGGGGGAAAGACAGCGGTCCTAGAGAAAACCTTAGGTTCACCCAGATACGTGGAGAAAGCTTAGACTCTGTTTTATGTTGTGATGTTATTCCGTTCACAATAAAGTCCAACACCTGAAAGTGGGTATTCGCCCTTCTATAGTGTGGAGCAGATTTGGGGTGCCACCTTCTTACACACTCCGTAGATTAAAGTTTAAAAGGCTACCAATTCTCAGGCTTCTTGGCATGAAGTCATTTCTCCTGTTTAGGACTGGATGGCTTTAGTAATATGGGGTTAGGGGATCCAGTAACCCTCGATTCTGGATAGCTGTAAGAGCCAAAAGTTTTGTGTGGAGGATAAATATAATATCTACTTTAAGTGATGGGTCCAAGAGAACAGTAGAGCATGTAAGTGCAGGTGGCTTGCATACTGAAAACCACCCTGAAGTGAGTAGCTGTACAGCATATCCCATTATTCACAATGGCTGAGAACACTTAAGCTTAGTTCAGTCCCTAATTTAACTCTCTATTCCTTGTGTAGCCAAAAGTCCTACTGAAAACAATAAAGTAGGCACCTTGGGTGCACAAACAATGCAGAATTGGATGCTCAGGTCTGGACATAAGAACATAAGAATGGCCATACTGGGTCAGACCAAAGGTCCATCCAGCCTAGTATCCTGTCTGCCAACAACGACCAATGCCAGGTGCCCTAGAAGGAGTGAACCTAACAGGTAATGATCAAGTGATCTCTCTCTCTATATTGGACAATTGGCAAGCATACTTAATAACTTAATACTTGTACCGTATTACATAACATTAAAGTTTTCAAAAACTGAAGTTGAAATGTTTGTGCTGTGTGGTAAAACTCACAGTTAATAAATTTGTTGAAGACTGATGGAGAGAGCTGCACATTTTATTGTCTTGCTAGTGAAATGGATGCAGTGGGAGTGCTCATTCAATATAGCTTCTTAACTTCTGTAACAGACCCCTTTCAGTGCAACAGAAGTGCTGACAATTGAACAGGGTTATTCATTACTTATATTTAATTGGAATGTTTGAAAATGTTCTTGATTAAAAAATAGTGAAAGATTTTTTAAAGATAGAATTTTTTAAAGATAGAAATACATGAAATTAAAATATATACATTGTAATGGTTCCTTTAGACTGGAGAAAGGCAGAAAAGGGGGTACTTTGGATTAGATTACGCTAAACCAATCCGGATTGTTTGGATCCTGGTCCTATTTTATATTAATCTCTCCTTTCCTCCAGGACAGGCAGATCTATCTGGCCAATAAAATACAAGGCTGTAAATAGACTCATCAAATATGTGTAGTATAAAAACCTCTTCCTAATACACTGTGATAATCATCAGAGGGGGAAATTTACCTGTCCCTGGAAGGCCCTGATGTACAGGGGTACAGATTGGGTGGCTCCATATCCTCCATGAAGCAGGGAGATAGTTTCCTTAGTGATCTCTAGGAGGAAGAGGCATGACTGCTGAAGGGGACTATCCATAGGGTCCTAAGGGTTAAGAAAGAATCCAGCTGTACACCCCAGAGCAGATAAGAAGAAAGTATAGGGACTGAGTTGTAGGGGTAATAAGCAAACATCACATAACGGTGGCACACAGCATACTCAAGGCCTATATTGGAAGCGTCTGTCACCACTGTTATTACAGACATGTACCTGAAACCATATATTCTGCTAAAGATTTCAAATGAGAGGAAATGTAAACAGGGTGGTAAACAAATAGCATATAATTATGTTAATGAGATCAGTTAATGAGTGTATAGCACCTCAGCAATGTAATGCACCTGGAAAAACAATGATGCATGTGTTTTTAATAAACTGAGAGGAAAGAGAGTCTTTGGTTAAGACCCTAGACTGGGACTTGGGAGATGTGGGTTCAATCCCTCCCTCTATCACAGACCTTAGATAAGTCACTTAGTCTCTCTAAACTTCAGTTCCCCATCTGAAATGTGAATAGTATTTCCTTTCTCCTGCTCTTTGTTTGTCTTGTCTAGTTACAGCATAAGCTCTTTGGATAGAGACTGTTGCTTACTCCATGCTAGGCACTTACAAACCCAATGAGCCCTGACCTTAGTTTGGGCTTCCAAGTGGTACTGTAATACAAATAATTAAAAAAAAAAACCAATAAGAATCATTTGATTTCTACCTCTTCATAATGATTTGACATTTAATATCTTAGCATGAGATAACAGAGCAGAAACCATAAGGACTGTTTCATGCATATAGATTTGTAGATCCCAAGGTCAGAAGGGAACCATTGTGATCATCTAGTCTGGCCTCCTGCAAGTCTAATGCCGGTCCTGCTTGGTGGACCCCTGGAAGCACAAGCCTCCCCCCAGGGGGCCCCAGGCCCCTGGTTGAGAACCACTGGTCTAGCAGAAACATTTCAGAAGTGAAACACTTCATATTTAACTCTAAGCCAAATTAGAAAAGAACAGTTTAGCCAAATAGATCTGTGGAAACAGTCACATTTAACAAGTTACAGTTAACTAACTGGACATTCATCCAATAGTTCAAATTCCTACATAGCCACTCTGAACAGGAATAGGACATAATTTTTCATTTACACTGCTAAACATTCTGTTTTCTGTGTACTGCGGCTTTAAATGTTGGCAGTCTCCATCATTTTGCAGGGACAACTATATGGCGGCTGACATTTTGTTTCAGTTCAGATGCAGAATGTTACACAATAAGCACCTACATTCTCTCCCTTAGAGATACTACATTAGTCCTTTCTTTGTTGTTTGCCTTAATCTGAAATAAAAGCCACCTAGGCTGAAAATTACATATTTTAACCTTTTTGTATGAGAACACTGTATTTTGGGACTTGTAAAGCTATCCATATTTCCAGTGTGGGTGTTTTAAATAGATCCAGTATCACATTTTTATATAGTTTAAACTGTTCTTTTGCTAGCTTGGCTTTTTTAAATGAGAAATGTTTTGACTCCATCTTTTTTCATTTCTGCTTTGGAAAAGTGGTAAGAATGAAATCTGTAATCATACTGATGGGAAAAGCAGCTAATACAAAATTCTTTAAATGAAAACACAATCTCAACAGGATTTTAACTCAATACCTTTAAAATAAAAAGCAAGAAGTTTTGTCTTTATAGCATCTATGGTGAAGATTTTCAAAAGCCCCACCAATTTTCA